AAATAAAGGTAAATACCTAGGAATTAAAATAAGCAAAAAAAAAAAAAAAAAAAAAAAAAAAAAAAAAAAATTAAATAAAAAAAAAAAAAAAAAAACCAAAAAAAAAGGAAAGATAGTTATTGTTTCTGGATTGCAATAATCAATAAAGTTAAAATGTCTAATCTATAGATTCACTGCAATCTCTAGTATAATGCCAATGGCATTCCATGCAGAAATGCAAAAACATATGTACAAAGTTATAGTAAACAAACAGCATGGTACTGACATAAAAACAGACATATAGGCCAATGGCACAGAATAGAGAACCCAGAAACAAATTCACACACCTACACTGAACTCATTTTCAACAAAGGTGCCAAGAACTTATAATGGGGAAAAGACAGTCTCTTCAATAAATGATACTGGAAAAGCTGTATATTCATATGCAGAAGAATGAAACTTGATCCCTACCTCTCATCATATACAAAAATCAAATTACAGTGAATTTAGTACTTAAATCTAAGACCTCCAACTATGAAACTACTACAAGAAAATATTGAAGAAAACCTCCAGGACATAGGTCAAGGCAAAAATTTCTTGAGCAATACCCCTAGAAATGCAGGCAACCAAAGCATAATGGATAAATGAGATCACATTAAGAAAAATAAAAAGGCTTCTGCACAGCAAAGGAAGCAATTAACAAAAGGAAAAGACATAGAGAATATTTGCAAAATTATCTATCCTGACAGGGTATTAATAACCAAAATATATGAGAAGCTCAAACAACTCTATAGGAAAAAGTCTAATAACCTGATCAAAAATTAGGCAAAGATTTGAATAGAAATTTTTCAAAAGAAGACATACGAATGGCAAACCAAAAAGTGCTTGTGTCTCTTAACATTTTAACTTAAAACAAGTTAAATATTGCATCATTTGTCTGTCTTTTAATGCAGGCATGAGGCCTTTTCTTGAATTATCATGTATTTCAATACTAGATTAAAAGTGTCTTCCTGAGAGTAGCTCTGATTTTAATTACATATATTCTAAAGCATATCTACTAGAATATATACATATATTCTAAAGTAGATCTACTAGCAGTACTTTGTTTCAATAGTTTAATCAATTATTGTATTAATATTTGTGGCCTACACTTGACCTTTCTTTGAGTTTTCCAAGATATATGAATTATTTGCATTTCAGAAAGACTATTAGAATAAAAACTGCAAAAGTGGATAGCGATAACCATACTTAGTTACATGTCTCCCTTTTAAAGGAGATAACATCTCAAAAATAAATAGGGGATAATTATGGAAATGAAATTTTCTCAGTGCAGGTGGAGGAAGACTGGAACATTTTTTTCACTTGTGAAATTTCTGGAGATTTAGTAAGAACAGTTAAGACATATTTTATTATAGTTTTATCAGATAGAGTCATTTTTTGATTTTCAGGTAATCTTCCCAAGCTTTCAGAGATGCTGAAAACAGAAGAGGCACTAAAACTAATTAGGTGGAATATTAATATTTTCCCTGAAACTGATCAGTGGATTTGAGGAGAAAAAGCTAATAAATACAGGCATTTTAACGTTATTGATTATTTATCATATCTAGATGAGGTTTTTTACAGTTTTTATTTGACTCTTTTTCTTCTTAAATTGCTTTGCTTCACTATTATGCCATTGCCATTACTCCTCGTTTAGATATTTTGCCTCATATTAATGTATACTAGTATCTGTTAGCAAGCAGCAGTTCCACAATTAAGCTTAGGGGATCTGAAAAGTGAGCTTTTTATTGTGGGTACAATGAACATGAAGCAGGGGTTTCTTTATTTTTTTAATTATATTGGTTCATAGAAGATTAGAAATTAAGTAATATATATATTAAGTATTATATATATTTAAGAATTTTCAAAATAGAGCACGTTTTGAAGAAAAAGTATGGTTTGTTACTTTTCTTGTCCATTCTAATTCTAAGTCTAATATTCTTTCTACTTAAAATGTTTAAATGTAGGTTCCTTGCTAACCAATTTTTTAATCCCTGGTGGACATAAATGCTGACCTGCCTTTAGTATTTCAGGCTAATGCCTAATATTTCCTAATGTGTAATGTTAAAAATCAACCCAAATAACTTTCTTTAACTCTTAAGAGGTTTATCATCAACATTATAATCTCTAGATCTGACTAGTCTACCTGGTAACTGATAATCAGTGCCAGAGTCTAGAACATACCTCTCAGTTCACCTTTTTTCTCTGATTTACGATAAACTTAATACCTGCCTGTGCTTTTAGGCTGATTGACATGCCTGATTAAATCACATGGTTCTCTTTTCCTTTAAAAAATGACAAGATTCCCTCTGTACCCTCGTGCATATTCATGCTGTTGAAAGGAAAGATCATCAAGTCTCTTCTTATCTGGGTGTATTGTCAAAATATGGAAAAACAGGAGTCTGACAGGCAGTGGCCCAATTTGCTTATTGCATTTAATTAAAGGGGCATTGCTCTGGACTTTGAAGCAAAAGGCCTAGATTTGTGTCCTCTCTTACTACTTAATAAATGGTAGCTTAAAAAAGTCACAGAACTTGCACTTTAGTCTTCTCAACTGTAAATTATAGAAAATGTTTCTTAGCTCACAGAATGGTTTGCGAGGATGACATAACGTAAATATGAATTTTATAAACTCTAAAGCTCTAGTAAAAATATGAAATGTAATATTTATTTCTTCTTTGAGACAAGTTATAATAATGTCTTAACACTCTTTATCCATGTTTGCCCTTCTGCGTGTTTAGGGTACATTGTTAAAAGGTGAAAAAGGTATCATGCTTTTTTTGTGAAGGAAAAAAAAATACCAGAATTTAAAAAATCATTTTATTTTCTGTTTTAGCTATCGACTTCAATATTATAAAGATTTTAAACAACCCAAGAGCATATACATTGCCTACATCCAAAGAAGAATCAGGATTATTGAGACTAGCAACAAAGGTTTGTAGTATAATAACTATTACAAAAAAATTTTACTTGTTTAATTTGCAATATAGTTGCTATTGACTGTGTTGTACATAGACAATCCTGGTTATTACATTCTTAACATATATTTTAGAAGAGAATTTAATGGTCAAAAGAGATTCATCTGAGGGGTTAATCCTAATATTAAAAAGGTTTGTTTTCTTCTGAAAATATCCCCATCTCTAATGAAAAATATCATAATATTGGTCTTTTTTTCTTACAACATGTCTTGTCACTGCTTCTGCTTGGGTTGACATACAAAGATTCCGTCTGGTGTTTGCACATGAATATGATCTCAATAAGCAGCAAAGCTTCAGGGAAAATTTCAAAGGAGTATCAGCAATAGTTGACCTGTCCTTACTTCTTAAGCCACGGTCCTGGAATAATTGACCACATGTAGTTATTGTTACTCTTGAGTCTTGAATGCTTAGCCTTTCGACATTCTTGAAGGTGCTTTGCAAGTAGAGATTTCATGGACTTACCACCATGTATTGCCTTAGCCAAAATTTGATAAGATTATTGACCTAAAATTCTGAATTTGATATCTTAATTTGTTAGACAATTCAGTTTTAAGTCTGTTACAGTCTTTATTGCTAATATTTTTTCTAAATTATCCTATCTGATAATAAAATTTATTTAAAATTTAAAATTATGCCCATGTAAAAACCACTTTCTGCAAGTCAATATTTATGTCTTCCCAGTATTTAATAATCCAGGTTTAATAAAATATCTTCCTACTTTATTCTGGCCTTCACAGTAAGGCCAAGGATGGTTGCAGCACTTCAGATATTAACTGGTGATGTATAGAAGTCTATTTTGAATCAATGAGAATGTCACATCATTTCCTTTGGGGCAATATTGCCAGATTTAGAAATCAGAGATAAATCATAGAGATTGTATACCTGATCTTCAGCAAACCCTAAAAATGGTCTCTTGTACTTTGTTTAGTAGTTAACACATGGGTTTGTAACAGACTAAACAACCTTTTTCAGAGCATGCTGGTAACAGATAGAAATTGGAGATACATCTTTAGAAGTACAGCACATTGCTGCATTTTTTTGTCCTGTCCCATTGTATTAGTCAACTTGGACTGCAATAACAAAATATGATGGACTGGGTAGCTTAAACAACAGAAATTCATTCCTCGCAGTTCTGGAGGATGGGAAGTCCAAGATCAAAAAGCCAGCCAATTTGGTTTTCTGGTGAAGGCTCTCTTCCTGTCTTGCAGATGGCCTCTTTCTTGTTGTGTCCCCATATGGGAGAGAGGGTGAGCTCTGGTCTCTTCTTCTTATAAGGACTCCAGTCCCATCATTGACAACCTCATCTAAACCTAATTACAAAGAGCTCTGAAATCATATTGCTGTAGCAACAGCTAAATTATTTATGAATATTTCTTCTGGAAGGAAAAGACTCGGAAGGCCATAATAACTGTTTTCAAATATGTAACGACCTACTATAGGAAAGCAGAATTAAAGTTTTTCTGTGTGGCTCCAAAAAAAAGTATAACTTTTGCCAATAAATAAATGAAAGCTACAGGGATATAGATTTCAGCTCAACATAAGGAATTTTCCAGGCAAAAAAGTTGTCCAAATGCTGAATAGGTGCCTGTGGTTTTCTAGTCCCTGAAAGTGACATTGAGTATGAGCACTGGCAGAGCACATATTCAGGCCTCAAAAGTCAAAGTTTAGCTTTCTTGTCATTGTAGCAATTATCCTTTAATAAATTAACAGAGAAATTAGACACCAAAATCACCCCTTCAAATTTCTGGTTTATCCTTACGATCATTCCAAAGCTTATGGAGTTGCTTGATTCTTTGAATTTAGGGCTAGGTTGACTTGACAATAAAAGTCTTGTTTATAGAATCTTAAAGTGCTCTGACAAATTTCTGCCATTATCTTTTATGGAAATATTAGGGCTTCTGTTCTTTGGTTTGGCTATTTGGAGTGTCTCTAGCAAGAGATTTTGGGCAACTTGGGACATTCTGCTTTAAAAAACAAAACACTGTTTTTACATTTAATACCTATTTGGCTCTTACCTGACTGAACTACTCTTAAAAACCATGAATTCTTACAGAGGAAAAAAGAGCTACAAACTGTGATTTTCTGAATTTAATAACTGATCACTGTAGAAAATGACAGAAATGTCTATTTTTAGAACCTTAGTAAGACAGAATGTTTATCTTACAGTACCCAAGAAAGAAACAGGAAGAGTTACAAAACATCTATCTAGACAGGAAAATTTTTTAAAAATCTAAACTGAGCTTAGGCTAGTTTTGCATATATTTTGAAGATTGGGCTATATATAACCCAATGTGAATTATCATGGCAGCTTAAAATGAAGGAGTGATTTACATCATAGAAAACATGTCTGATATTGACCTTAACTTTTTACCAGCAAAGAATTGCTATTGATTGTGATAGTCCCATTATTTGAAATGATTCTGTAGCTGCTAGGAATTCTGAAACATATTATTTGCAAAAACCTATAGAACAAAAAAGCAACCATAAGCAAAAGACATTCAAGAAAACTTTATGTATCAATAAAAGCAAATAAAAATAAAATTTTATTTCCCCACAAAGTGGAATCAATACTAAATCTCTCATAATGGCATTATCAAGACTGGGGAAAACTTAAAATATTAGTAATTGCTTTACTGGCATTTCTCTCATAAGAAGGGAATAATAGAATCTTGGAGAAATTGTATTTATGGTTGTTATATTCTTGACATAGGATTCTTGGTCAACAGGTTTTTTTTCCATCAGCACCGTGATGCTATCCTACTGCCTTCTTGCCTGTTGTGTTATGATAAGAAGTAAGCTATTAATCTTATTAACATTCCCCTATATGAGTTGCTTTTCTCCTGCTGCTTTTGAGATTTTTCTCCTTGTCTTTATTTTGCATACTTTGTCTAGGATGTGCTAGGTGTGAATTTATTCTGCTTAGAGATTGGTGAACTTCTTGGATGTGTTTTTCATAAATTTTGAAAATTTAGCCCATCATTTCTTCAGATATTTTTCCTATGCCTTTTCCTAGATTTGTTCATTTTCTTCATTTTTTTTCTGTTCTTAAGATTGAATAATGTCTGTTGCCTATCTGCAAGCCTGATGATAAATCGAAAGGCTACAAGAGACTTACTGTACATACGCATAGACTCATACCTTGGTAAATTCCGCTAATTAAGATGATGCTGTCTGGAATTTCCTTTATTTTAATATGCCAAATGGTAGCTTTATGCTTAATATGAAGTTATATTTTACTCATAGTTTTTAGAAACACAAAAGTTATTGTCTTGATTCTTTTCTTCCTCTTACAGTCCCACTATAGTAGTACTGGTCCAGAGTTTAATCGTGTTCTCTTCAATTTTGGAGGTCAGAGTCCGTTGATTTTATATTATCTTAAGATGCATGAGCTGACTGGTGTTTCCAAAGCCCCTAAGCAAACCAAGATTAAACTTACTGAGATATTCCAGGAACCATATCCTTTTTAAAGCTTTGCTTTAATATGATTTGTTTCCAAAATAATATTCAGAACTGAATGTCTCAATTGAGAAAAAAATTGAATGCATGTTTTACCAATGCTTCTATTTAGTTTTAATATTTAGTTATGCTTAATATTATATATTTAGTATGTAGTATGTTTGGCTAATCCATTTTCTTTTGTAGTATATTTGGCTAAACTATTTTATTTTTTAGATCTAAGGCTATAATTTTGTAAAAAAAATAAAACAAACATAAACCCAAAGAACTTTTAAAAGTGGTATACTTGGTGCTGTGATAAAAAGCTATCTTTGCAACTTTACTGTTAAGTGATTGGTTTCAAACATACACAGTAATGAGACATGGGCTTCTAGCCTTCTCCAAAGAGAGCTTTAGGCATGTTTTAGCTGTGGAATTCCTTGTTCAAATGAAAATTTGTCTGAACATGTTTTACACATAAAAAAATTATTTTCATGTGTAAACTAAAAAATAAATAAAGTCGGAACTCTGTGGTTGAAGCAGGGGTATGGCCCAGAGTTCCGTTTTTTACAGTCTTGTCCATCTTCAGTATAACGTTTCTTGGCCCAGCCCTCATTAAGGACTCAGATGAACCCCAAAGGGATTAGAACACTAACCACTGAATTGGAGTACAAGCTGCCAAGGCGGCACCTGTCCGGTCTGGTCCACTACAGAGGCCGTGCAGCGTCAGGACCCAGAGCTTACCCCACCGATAGAGCCGCGCCGTGCGCCCCACCCAGCACCCATCAATTCAATGGTGTCGCAGTGGCGGCTACCCCATGCCACGGCCACCCAGCTCTGGGGCTTCCTACTCCTGCTTACAGCAGCTCAGGGAGCAGTCTTATGTGCATCTAGAAATGGCACATCCAAGGGCTACTGCATGCTTTATAACCCTCATTGGATAACTTTTCTAAGTACCCTAGAAAATGCAGCTTCCATTAGTTTGATGAGTCTGACTTCCACACCACTATGCAGCCCTTCTGATATTCCTCCTGTTGGCATAAAGAACAAAGTAGCTGTGGTGCAATGGGGAAGCTGTCATTTTCCCAAAAAAGCCAGAATTGCTTAGAAAGGCGGTGCTGAAGCAGTGTTAGTTGTCAACAACAGTGTCCTATTTCCTCCCTCGGTAACAGATCTGAATTTCCTCATGTGAAAGTACTGATTGCTTTTATAAGCCAGAAAGTCTTTAAAGATATGAAGCAGACTCTAGGAAATCACATTAATGTGAAAATGTATTCTCCATTGTGGCCTTTGATCATACTATGGTGGTCATTTTTGTAATTGCTGTGTTCACTGTGGCATTAGTTAGATACTGGAGTGGACTAGTTGAATTGGAAAACTTGAAAGCAGTGACAATTGAAGATAGAGAAATGAGGAAAAAGAAGGAAGAATATCTAACTTTTAGTCCTTTCTTACAGTTGTAATCTTTGTGGTCACCTGCTGTGTTATGATGGTCTTTAATTCTTCTGCAAATGATTGGTTTATGTTATGATAGCAATTTTCTGCATAGCATCAGCAATGAGTCTGTGCAACTGTCTTGTCTGCACTAATTCATAAGATACCAATAGGCAATGCACAATTGTGTGTTGTGGCAAAAGCATGGAAGTGAGACTTATTTTTCTCTCTAGACTATGCCTAATGATAGCTATTGTTTGGGCTGTGTTTCGAAATGAAGACAGGTGGACTTGGATTTTACAGGATATCGATATCTTGGAGATTGCTTTCTGTCTGAATTTGATTAAAACACTGAAATTGCCCAACTTCAAGTCATGCATGATACTTCTAGGCCTTCTCCTCTTCTATAATGTATTTTTTGTGGTCGTAACACCATTCGTCACAAAAAATGGTGAGAGTATCGTGGTTGAACTTGCAGCTGGACCTTTTGGAAATAACGGAAAGTTGCCAGTAGTCAACAGAGTACCAAAGCTGATCTATTTCTCAGTAATGAGTGTGTGCCTCATGCCTTTTTCAATGTTGGTTTTTAGAGACATTACTGTACCAGGCCTGTTGATTGGGTACTGTAGAAGAGTTGATGTTCAGACTGGTTCTTCCTATATATAGTATGTTATTATGCTAGTTGCCTATGCTATTGGCATGATACTTACATTTGTTGTTCCGGTGCTGATGAAAAAGGGGCAACCTGCTCTCCTGTATTGAGTACTTTACAAACTTATTACTGCCTCAATTGTTGCACGGAGAATTTTAATTATTTATGATGTAACTGTAAGTAGCAGCCTGGGTGGCATAGCAAGACCCCATCTCAAATATAAATATATATGTAATATAATATAAAATAAATAACTTTATACATTTCCTGGAAGAAAGGTACTTTGTAAATTCAAAAGATCTGAATCAAATTATTCAACCTTTTGGACTTTGATCTTCTACTGTAATACTCATATGTGAGATTACCGAATTTTCAGTTAAAAAAAATTATTAACAGGATAATATATAGGCCATATTATAGTGAAGATCATAGCCTCTGTATTAAAAAAAGTGTTCATTGGGAGAAAAACTATTTTTAAAACTAAATTTTTATAGTAATCCTCCATTACTTCAATTAAGGAGCAACCAAAAAAAAAGTGGATTATTTAATGTATACATTGTGGAATGACTGAATCAAGCTAATTAACATATTCATCACCTTAAATACTTATAATTTATCCCTCCTAACTGAAACTTTGTACTCTTTAACCAAAACCTCACCATTCCGCAACCCCATAGGTAAATTTCGCTTAATAAGGAGTGATTTGCCAAAATCACAAAAGGGAGGATGACATTATTTTCAGTGTGTAAGGATTCACATGTAAACACTGAGTAGATTGGAGGTGTGTATGAAGAGGACTGGAGGGAGTCAATGAAATTTCATATCACAGAAGTGCTTATGTCTTCTGACATGATTTTAAATGTATATTTATAAGGATAATAAACTACTAGTTAATGTATACTAATTCATTAGTGAAAAATTTACATATAATTTTTAAATGGCCTTTGGGGTTTTTTTAAAAACTTGATCACTTAATATTCTAATTATGTGTAAAACAGGAGACAAACTTTGATTTACAGGATTTAGAACTGAATGCATGGTGTATCTTTAAACTGCAGACTCTTGGATAAAATATATTTAGAGCTACTCATTCTCCCTTCATACTTTCTGTATTGTTATAAGCTACCTCAAGCCCTTTGTGTGTTGAGACTTAAAAAGAATACCCAAAAATTTAACAATTTTTTAACATGTGAAATGCTAATTATTTTAAAAATTGAAAACTCAGAGCCAAAATGTTGGTGTATTCTGTGTGGGTCTTGTTAAAAAGAAAAATCTATAAGCCATATCTGTATTTCTAACATGAGTTTTAAACATTCATATTTTGTTGCAGTTTAGAAAAATCTGAACTCAATGCAGTGTCATAATGAGTACATTATGTTACTATTAACACATGCTCTCATTATCACACATGCATATACAGACTTTTTAAACATGTAAATAGTGTCCAGGAATGAATTGTTTAAACCCAGCAATTGAAAATAATGTGGTTATAGCAGCATTTATACTAGCATAAAAATAAAACCTATACAGAGAAATAATCTTGTTATGAATTATCTGTGATGTGGGAGAAGAAAATTGTCAACAGTGAAAAAAAGAGAAACAATTCTGAGACTCCAGAAGCATCACCAGCTCTGTATTCTTTTTACCATTATTTATATAATGATTTCCAATAATCTTCATCACATGAACACGCATAGATATTTTTCTCATTAACCAATATATGAATAGCAATTTGTAAGTTATTACTAAAGTGACTATCAATTGTATTTTTCACTTCAAGTCAATGACTACTTACTTAACATATGGTAAGAACCTTGTAATAGTCACATTTTTTAAAGGATAAATTAGCTGAAAGACAAATATCTGAAAAAACATCTAATCCAGAACCCTCCCATCTAGTAATTTTTCTAATATATACAAGGTAAAACATCTTTTTCCTCAGTCCTTCTGAAATACTCTGGGTGAAGTGAATAGACAAGCCTATACTACAAGAAAGTTTGTTCCATTATTTATGATAACTTACCAAAAAATTTAACCCTTATTTTCCTTCAAAAATTGGGTATCAGTGTCATAAATTATCTGTTAATGAGATATTTCAGATAATGAAAGCAGGTGTTAACGTGATGAAATGTGAGGTCTTTTAAAAATACATTTTCATTCAAAACATATAGGCCTAAAAGTCCCGTGGCACCATAGAGATAAAAGATTTCCTCTGCCAAAATATGATGGAGAATTGACATTTCCTCTAATTGCCTGCCAAGAGGAAAAATGGAGACACAGTGATCCCAAACAGGAGAAAGAAGAGGAAAGATAAAGATCAGAGAGGAAACATAAAACCCTTGATTGCATAGAAAAGGACTCTTCAGCAGTGTAGGAAGAAATTGCTTTCTAATTTGAGCCCAAATTTAAGCCTCTTCTCCATTCATATTAAGCAGATGAATTGGACTAAATAAATTTCAAGTCCCTATGGTTTTGTTGGAGGAATTTGACCTTTCCCACTATCAGCGGCTGAATTGGCAACTCTTTCAATTTTTCCCTTAAATGATGACGTTCTCATTTTGTCAGCTCACCGTAGAACCAAGTTCTTCTGAAGCTACCCTAAGAGAAAGAATGCTTAGACACTGTTTCTGCCATTATCTGCTGTTGACTCCCCTAAAAGACTACCAGAATTACCTGTTGACCAAACAAAGCTAGGTTTCATGCACTGATTGCAGTAAGAACACCAATGTAACAGAGCTTTAGGAATGTCTCAAAACTGAGAAATTCAAGGATGATATTCATGGGGTTTTGAGGCCTGAGGTAGGTGACTTTGAGGCAGGCTTTGCAAGATAGGGAACTGCTTGAGATTGGGCAGAGGTTATGATATTATAATTTTGGATTGGAGGGACCAGTGCAGCAAGGGTCTTGAAGTGAGCTGTGATGAGCAAGATATTTTAGTTTGTTTGCAATCTTATCTTCAGGGAAAGGGATATTCTGGAGCAAGTAACTCAGTTATTTTTGCTTACTCTCAATATTGTTAAACATAGAGACAAAAAATTATGCATACCACAGGAATAGGAAAATACGTATGGTAGATGCTCTGAAGCCTAAGCAAAGAAATACAAAAGACATTCTTCAGCTGCTGGGATGGGACAATACTGATGGCATAAGGCCCTTGGTTACCAATACCCTATAAGAATTTCCTCAGCTGATAATAGTGGGCTTACTCAAGGTAAGTCCTATGGCAGATTATATTTTTCAAGGGGCCATAACAATATTGCCCTTACCACATGTTCCTGTTACAAGGTGAATTGTAACAATTCTCCCATCAAGAGATAGCACCAATGCTCACTGCCCTTGAATTTGGACAGTCTTCTATAACTTCCTCAACCATTGGAGTGTGACTTTATGACTTCTGGGGCCAGCTAATAAATGTCGTTACAGCTTCTGCCTGTTTCACTCTTCCTTTTGGGATGCTTGCTCTTGGAACTAGCTGCTATGTTAGTAGGAAATTCAGACCATGTGGAGAGTCCATGTTCCAGTTAGCAGTCAAATTAACAAAGTTAATTTCCCATCTATGTTCTTAAATTTTCCCTGTCTTTTTTTTTTTTTGGTTAGATTTTTTTCCCCATTTTATTCTAGTTTAGAGTTATTTTAGTTTTTTGATCTTTTTTGCTTACAGAAAAATTACTTTCAGCATCATGATGGTTTTGGTCCATACACATGGCTTCAACCCAAAGAAAAAAGCTTGCCACTGTCTAGAAAGTCTGGAGATCAATAGAGGTCAAAGACTTTATCAGTAACCTACCTCTGTATAAAAGTTTGTGATTGCCTTTTTACAGTTAGAATATTTCTCACCAGTGAATCTATCTCTTTACTTAATTCCCTTTGATGCTACCTTATATCAATTATCTAAAATAACCTAATAACTCCCCTACTTGGCTCCCAGGGATTCCATAAAAAAACAAATTCCAGATTTTTAAAAATATTTTTAAAACTTATGTAATAGAGTATAAGCATAAAGGCATAGTAAAATAAAGGATATATCCAGTATTTAAATTTTGCTTTTAGATAAGAGAAAGACATTTTATTTTATTTTTAGATGGCTTATACTTGAAGCTATTCTAAACTTTGTTGAGTAAATTGCTAATTTATTCCTTTTATAAACTCTACCAATTAAGAGTAGAGGATGAGTTTAAAAATGAAATGAAAATAATAATTTTTATAAGAACTAGATGAACAAAGGGGGTTTGTTTCACATGAATGAGTATTATAAGTATTGTCAGCCACCTTGAGCCAGAGACAATTAAAAAACTGTTGGTAGTATCTGGTTATTTTTTTTCTGACAAACTCAGTTTCAGTTCTAGTTGGAGATTTTCTTTTAATAAAATAACACAAGATACAGACTAAAATTCACCAACTTGTTATTAACACTACTAGTAAATTAAAGACTTCAGTTGCTTTAGGTAATCAGGTTCCAAGAAATGAGTTACATCAAGTTTTAAGCACAATTTGGACTTTAAATTATAAACATAACTCAATGGAAAAATAAGGGGGGAAATATGAATTCTCATTATGGAGAATTAGTAATAGCTTGGTTTGTTCAATTTAGGAGAAATGTAGTAAAGGCAAATTTGTATCAAATAAGAGAAAAAAACTTCATTTTCAAATAGTTTAGGTGATCTTTGAAGGCTGGGGTAAAAGCATTCTTGCTATAAATATTGTTGGTCAGTAAAATTAGGTGAAAAAGCCAAACCTTTTGAATGCTTGGAATTTAGGAATCAAAAGCAATACCTCAAGTAAATATTGATCAGATCATAATTTTGCGTTCACCCAACCTCCTTCTCTCTGAGGAGGTGGGCAGGCAAAGGAGAAAATAAGCAAAACTTACACTATTACCATGCATTCGCCCCACAGAAATCACTTCCAGCCTCTGGCTCCGAGTAATTCTGTGAGGTGCTCCAAAATTTCAGAAAGTAAAAGCCATATTCTTGTTTAGAGCTAAAGCCCCGTTTATTGAAGGAAAAACCAAATTGGCTCCTTTTGGTGGTTGCCTCACATGTATCTGCTTTCTGGTTTTTTAGTGATATATCAAATTTGAAAGAGGGAATTCCAGAAGTTCTATCTTTATAGACTTAGATATTCAACTGAGTTTCAAGCAGAGAGCTAGGGAACTTGTGTTGAACCTATATTTGCAAAGCAAACCCAAAATTTATATATTTATTTGGAGTAGCTTTGTGGAGGATAGAGGGGTGAATGAAAATAATGGGAATGGCCGAAGTCCTTCTAAGCAACTTTTGGAGTGGTCTCTGTTATTGGACATAAATTATAAAAATGCTGGAATTTCTATAAATCAACAACTTGTTAATCTAGCTTTATCAGGGAGTGCACTATAGCCCAAAATTAAATTTTCCAGATAACTAAAGCTGACCATTTGAAGCACTAAACCTGTTTAACTACTTTTTTCTTTTTTTTGAGACACAGTTTCACTCTTGTCACTCAGGCTGGAGTGCAATGGCATGATCTCAACTCACTGCAACCTCCACCTTCTAGGTTCAAGCCACTATCCTGCCTCACCCTCCCCAGTAGCTGAGCCACCACATTCAGCTAATTTGTATATTTTCAGTAGAGATCATCAATTATATAGTGAATTACTTTACTTGAATAAGTGTTAATGTTTTCAATACCCCTGTTCCCTCAATTTTTTGAGTATACTACAAAACTGCTGTTAATGATGTGTTAAATAATGAAAATTACTAGAACTGCAATCCTATTTTACATATAATTCTAGGCCATTTAGAATCTGGTAAGATTACAACAATAATGTTATCTCTTATAGAATAAGTCACATGTGTTTCTACCTTAAAAAAAATTTTTTTGATACATGGATGTTGGGTAAACTGTAAAC